TAATAATAACAATAGAAATCATATTAATACTGTAATATTCTTTGCCTATAGGTTCTAAAAAAACTTTGTTAATAATTTATAAGCTTAATTAACCATATTTAAATAAATATATTTGAACAGATAACTATAATTTGATAGACTTAATTATATTTATTAAAGATTTATTTATATTTTCTTGACAGTCAATGTGTTAATTAAAATATCATATTAATTTACTCAATACTTTAATTGTTTACCTTATTTATAACAAAAGTTATTAAATTAATTTATCTTTTTATAAAAATATAACAAAAGTTTTTATCATTTTATTTTTATTAAATTCATGATTTTACTACAGTATATGTAAACAAATGTTAATGTTCAAAATTCCTTTATTCAGTTATTTTTATAAAACTGAAATTTTGTCTAAATTATTCTTTTAAAGCTTACAGACAATGTACTTTACACAATATTCAATTTATTAATTGTTTTATTATTATTTTGTAGACTTTTAATCATTCTCTAACTTGCAAGTCAATTGATGTAAGCCTATTGTGCATTTTTATATATATCTAATGGTTATTCTGGGCAACTTATCAAAGATAATATCTGTAATACAGTATTTTAGTAATTAAAGAATAAAATTTTAATATTACTTTAGTTTGAAGGGTATAACTTCACAAAAAAATCTCATTTGAATCATTTGTTTGCATTTATTATGCAAAAACCTTTTGATAAGAATTTACAACACTTTAATTAATTAAATTGACTTAATGTTTTCAATCCATCAAAGTATATAACATTGTTTGCTATAACTTTTTCCTATAATTCATTTCAATTTGATTTGTTTGTATAGACATAAGAATAGAGATGACAATAAAGTTGATGGCATCGACACTAAAGTCAACGCACACTGACTGCATGTTTACATGCTTTCCAAGAACTCGACTCAATAGCCTTTCCCACAACACTGTATATACGGAACTCTATTAACATTTGAATTAGAGATCAATTTTAATGTAACATATTTTGTTAAATAGACAGAAAAAAGACAAATACATTCAAATAAAATATTTGTATAAGTCTTGCGATACTATTGTTTTGGGAAATAAATTGTAATAAGTGTTTTAGTTTTGTTGTCATATATTATGTTGGATTTGATGCTATGGAGAGCAATGTCTTCATCTGGCGATTAATCCAATGGTTTTGGTTTGACTTATAGTGAACTTTCCAGTGAACGAGTCATTAAACCTGTCTTTTCTGACTTGAGATTCTGTAATAAACCAATGCCTCCACTCTTACTGCAGTCAACACTATACACTCCTGAGAGTACAAGTGCTGTCAAACTCCGTCAAATCAATGTTTGCAACTTATAGTATGCTGTCCTCATTGCCAGTATATGATTGTCTCTAATATTCTCATCTTTATTATCCATATTATACTATATTGTATGCTATTAACTATCGAATCCTAATCTATTCTCATATTTAGCTTTCGATATATTTTTTTGTTTAGTTCTCATTAATGCTAATACTTTTGAATTCTATAGTAAGCTTATACACCTATACATATGTAGATTCTATACTGTTTTATAGAATTTATATAAATTAAAATATCTCTTAAAATACTTATTAATAATAAGTTATTATTAAAATGTATTTTGATCAATTAAATAGTATTTTTTAAATAACTGCTTTTCATGTAATAACACAAGTTAAATAACAGTTTACATGTATTTGATATAATTATTTAATTAATATAGTTGACAAAATTATCTACATTTTCTAAAAGATATGTTAGAATTACTGTAATTATATATAATCTTATGGAATTGGTGTGAATTTTATAAATGATAAACGAATGACTAATTAATTAATTATATTTAATTGTAGCTACCTTATTTAGTCAAATGAATAAGTAATACTAGTAAATGTTGATAAACTTATGATATGATTAGCTTATAAATCTAGCCTTAACTCTAGCTCAGAGACATTGCCTAATGATCTCAAAGTTTTATTAAAACGTTATTAAAAAATGATTACTTAATTTCAAACTATTGAATTATATTTTAAAATTTAGATAGTTTATAGTGAATAAGATTTTATATCCAATTCATATTGAAATAAGTGAGTTATTACAAATATTGAATAAATTAAATGAATCAAAAGATAATATTTAATTTACCAGAATTTGTCAAAATATATCAACGAATGATTTGTTTATTTAAATTCAAAGATGAAATAATGTTTATATGAAAATTTTGAGTGAAAAATTTTGTTTTTAGACACAAAACTTGGTGAGGTTATTGTACGGCACCCTTTGGTCTCTTATAACTTCATAATTATTATATTCTTGATTACAATAAAAGATTTCTAGAGAAATAATTTTATAAATAGATTCAATAATTTATTAGCTTTATTATTATTATATAATTATATTCTCTTTCATTTGTTTTAAATATATAATAGAATATATTTTGGGATATTATATCATGTTATTTGTAAAACATAGGTCCTCATAAATTTATTTGCAAATAATTACATTTATACTATCAGCCAATAAATTACTCATATTTTATTATAGCTTGCTATTATGTAATGATTTATGAAATTAAATTGTGATTATAAATAATAAATAGAAAAGTAAGAAAATGACATAACGTTGAAATGAAAGTTAAGAAATATTATGTGATTTATACTTTATTTCATTTGCTTGATATGAATAATACATAAGAAACAAACTCACGAATCAGAAAGTATTACATTTATAATCCATTTTGTATTGTTTAGGAATGGTTTTTACTTATTGAGTCAAATTAAACAAAACATTTAAAATTGTCTTTTTTAAAGATATTTCAATATGAATAATAATAATAAAAAGATTTTACATAAATGAGATATTTATACATTTATATTACTTGTGGTCCATAATTCATGATTCATAAGTAATAATGTTACATAATTTAATATACAAATAAATTTCATTTATACAAAGCGATGAAATATATTCTCAATCAATATCACAGTCTGTGTTAAAATTATATGTCATTTATAATTTGAGTTTGAAATTAGATTTCAATTCTTCATAAAGATATCACTGGTTTTGCAGATCTTCTCACGACAGGAATCATAACGTTTGCGATCTTTCGTCTCGTATTTAAAGCATAATTCGTGTGATTCTTATGTCGGATGAGATTCCCATTGCTGTCAGTGTTGTTGTTATCATCGCTATTGTTATGACTTTTGCCGAATACGTGTCCAAAAGCGCTGAACACTCGCGAAACCGTTACTATACTTAGTTTCCGGTGACTATGACTTCGGTTTGAATGAGAATTATTTGATTTGTGAGATATTTTGTGCGATTCGTGGAGAAGCCATTCAAATGCTTGCGAAACACCCAAATTGCTGTCCGCAGCAGATATCTGTTCAATCAATTCATGCATTCATTAGTCAATTGTTTTTTAATAAGATAATTATGAAATGTAATTTAATATAACAGTAAACTCTGCTAACTAATTTATATTTTATGCAAGAGTCTAACTAAATTTATAAAATATAATTTGTATAATTAAATAAAGGAAATTGACAAAAATAGCAATATTTGTTCAAGCACACTTACTTCGTAAAACTGAGACCCGAACTGCAGGGCAAGAGTAGTGCCCTCGTCTACACTGACTTGTCGGCCGACTTCCAGATCGCGTTTATTGGCCAACAAAATGATGGGCACATAAACGGGTCCCCGAATGGCAGAAATGTATTTGAGATAATGTTGGGCCAAATTGAAACTATTTCTGTCGCATATGCTGTATATAATAACGAAAGCTTCGGCCCATTCTATCTGATCCTTATTCACGATATTCTCGTTATCCTTATAACAGGTTATAATATATAAGTCATTTGAATAACAATAGCAACACAACTAAAGGTATGAAACATACGGTCAATGTTTTGGATATATCAAGGATCTCGACGTTTGCCATTCCATCATCTGTTTTAACTTTTTGCTGATAAAACCAGTCTAAATAATACAATATTTATATTTAATTAGTATTATTAAAAATGTGTTCCCAAATAAATAACAAATTTTTATTATATAAATTCTTGATTAAGATTTTCCAAAGTCAATAGGAGTTTACGACTACATTGAACTACTTTTACTTTAATTTTAAGGAATTTAATAAATTGACTTTTAAGCGTCAGATACTATTTTCACTGCAATTGCAGTGTTTATTATAGTAAAGAACAATAAAAAAGCTTTATTTTCCAAAACAATTTTATTTTACTTTAGAATAATGGTATTTGAAAATAAAATAAATAAGTTTAAAACGGATTAAATCCTATTTCAAATTTCTGTTTTCTAGCAAAGTAAGAATTTTTAAATAATGGAAACTTTTTAGAAAGTATGTGTAAATTTCCATTTGTTTTTGTAAACAATTATTTGTTTATTTTATTTGATCATCCTGAAAACTAGGCTAATCAATTTATATTATTTTCTAAATTTTCCACAAAGAAATATAATTGTGTATTAAAGTAATAATTCTTGTGTTATTTAAAGTGACTGTACTCAATACATTTGAATGCTAATGTATTACGCTAATATTATTTACGATATTTTGATAAAATCATTATGTAATAAAAAATATATTAATATCTCAAATCGTTTATTACATAAAGATCTTATTTCAAACATATTTATACTTTATTTATGCTGTAATTTATTTTTTCAATCTTATCGTATGAATCATTTCTATTATTTATTCAATGCTTTTGGGAGTTCTCGAGAGAAACCTATTTTATTAGTAATAAATGAATTTATGGTAAAATAAAGGATGAGAACCAATATCTAACAACAGATTATAATCTAATGAAGAAAACCCTATTTTATGGAAGCCTTTGGTTCATTAATTCAGTCCTGACATTGAATTATCATAACATATTCATAAGATTTATTATTACCTGTATTTGACTTATATTCTCCAATATATCTCTTTGTTAGGAAGCGTACAGTGATTGCTGTAAAAAAAGAGAAAATTAATTATTTTCCAAAATTGTAACACATTTTAACATTTTATATTCATATCAATTATTATAAGTAAAAATACATTTGTGACACAAAAATCACATGATTTTCTCAGAAAATTTGTCTGTTATATAGAAAATTAATTATTTTCCAAAATTGTAACACATTTTAACATTTTATATTCATATCAATTATTATAAGTAAAAATACATTTGTGACACAAAAATCACATGATTTTCTCAGAAAATTTGTCTGTTATATAGAAATATTTATTTAAAGATTCGATAAATGAAAAGACCCGGAGCTTACATTGCAAAAAATTATCGTTCAATTAATAAAATATTTCTAAATATATTTTTAACTACAAGTGCATTAGAGGCACAGTTGGGAGTACAGTATTAGGTATTAATTACTGTATTGGATATTAGATGTGAATTCAAAATGATGCTGAAATAATCAATCAATCAATCAATCGAAAAGTGAAATTGATACAACTGAATAAAATATTAAAATTCAGCCTTCAGTCGACTACAAGTACACCAAAACTCAATTACTATTTAGAAATTACCAAATAAAACTTTTACTTTCAGGTCAAATAGAAATATTATTTTTTAGTAGTTGATATGTTTAACAATTAATGGTCGTCCATACTAAGTTTTATATTTTATTAATATCTACACATATTAATATACGATTATGCTAGTATGATGTTATATGATGTAATAATAATAATAATTGTAAAACTTAATTAAGTTAATATGTTCAATACTCTACATGATATATATATATATATATATATTGAATTTTTGATTTATATAATTGACAATATCAAGTACAGTACCATATAACTATGCACAGTTACATTTATAATGATGCCATATAATTTCATAGTACTGTATATCAATAAAATCAGTGTGTTAATGATATTATTAATATAATTTTAAAAAATCAATCTAAATTATAATTGATTATCTAAATTGATTAGAGAGTTTTGTTGATAATAAGACTACTGTATTTGCATTCTTTACAATAAAAATAAATTTGGCATTCTTAACATTCATTTGAGTGCACTTTATTTGCATTTTTAAAATTCTTGGTGCAGTTGATGACACTTTCTATTTTAAAAAACTACTGATTTTCACACAATATGTTTGTGCAATAAGTAGATCAAGGCTTTGGAAGATGTTTGAAGGGCTGTCGTGAGGGCTCGCATCCAAATGTCTTGAGGGCTGAGGTGTTAGACATTACTATTCACACTCTCTGAAAGATTTGTATCTATTTTTATTCATCCAAGACATCTGAACACATTTAAGACTAATCTAATTGCTAATCAAAATATATATTAGAAATATCTAGTGTTGAGTGAGAAATTGAATTGAACTCAATATTAATATTAATGTTTTTCACATTTTGTTCAAAAAACACAAACCATTGAACGAGAGGTTGTGCTTAAAATAGATGAGGAAATAAACAAATTTTTGTGTAAAACATTTATTTCCACTACAATTGTGTACAAAAATATATAAGTTTTTCACATTTTGTTCAAAAAACACAAACCATTGAACGAGAGGTTGTGCTTAAAATAGATGAGGAAATAAACAAATTTTTGTGTAAAACATTTATTTCCACTACAATTGTGTACAAAAATATATATATTTTGGAGGCAGTAATTCATTCACAAAACTGTTTTGTTTTATTTGAAAGGTTGTGAATATAATTTAAAGAAACTAAAAACAAGAATTAATTAATTCAATGGTTTTCTAAATGATTGGCTCATAGAAGGAATTCTCAAATTTTGGAAATATGATTAACATTAATGAGAAAAAAGTGTCATATTTTGGCAAATAATAACAGCATAAATAAGGAAGTTTAAGTTTGTTTTCATATAATCCCAAATGACTTACAGTTAATATAACTTAAATCATAAATGGTTTGCGGAGCGAATGAACGTTTAGTTTTGCTTTAAGTCTGGATTATTCCCTATACTATGTAAGCGACGCCAATATATAGTTATAGTTTTATTTACTTAGAGGTCATTGAATTTAATATCACAAATCAATTATTAGTGTAAAGTTTGGCTTAAAATGTTTCGCTCACAAGTCAGATTAATGAATAGCAAAATAGTTAAATATTTTGATAGAATAACAAACAGAGAATAATATTCATAAAAAGGCTTTTAAACTGTATGTCAGTTTTAAAACTACCATGTTACAGGTACATTAATATGTCATTAATTCAGAAGTTTTTTAATTCATATGACATTAACATTGTGTGCGAATTGATTGATAAAACCATAACTGTT